ACAATGTCTATAAACAGCTGGAGGAGCATGGACTCATGGAATTTGTGTAATCTTTACACAAGGGGATAAGAAACAACAACAACACTGTCTATAAACAGCTGGAGGAGCATGGACTCATGGAATTGGTGTAATCTTTACACAAGGGGGATAAGAAACAACAACAACACTGTCTATAAACAGCTGGAGGAGCATGGACTCATGGAATTTGTGTAATCTTTACACAAGGGGATAAGAAACAACAACAACACTGTCTATAAACAGCTGGAGGAGCATGGACTCATGGAATTGGTGTAATCTTTACACAAGGGGATAAGAACACAACAACAACACTGTCTATAAACAGCTGGAGGAGCATGGACTCATGGAATTGGTGTAATCTTTACACAAGGGGATAAGAACACAACAACAACACTGTCTATAAACAGCTCGAGGAGCATGGACTCATGGAATTGGTGTAATCTTTACACAAGGGGATAAGAACACAACAACAACACTGTCTATAAACAGCTAAAGGAGCATGGACTCATGGAATTTGTGTAATCTTTACACAAGGGGGATAAGAAACAACAACAACACTGTCTATAAACAGCTCGAGGAGCATGGACTCATGGAATTGGTGTAATCTTTACACAAGGGGATAAGAACACAACAACAACACTGTCTATAAACAGCTGAAGGAGCATGGACTCATGGAATTGGTGTAATCTTTACACAAGGGGATAAGAACACAACAACAACACTGTCTATAAACAGCTAAAGGAGCATGGACTCATGGAATTTGTGTAATCTTTACACAAGGGGGATAAGAAACAACAACAACACTGTCTATAAACAGCTGGAGGAGCATGGACTCATGGAATTGGTGTAATCTTTGCACAAGGGGATAAGAAACAACAACAACACTGTCTATAAACAGCTGGAGGAGCATGGACTCATGGAATTGGTGTAATCTTTACACAAGGGGATAAGAAACAACAACAACACTGTCTATAAACAGCTGGAGGAGCATGGACTCATGGAATTTGTGTAATCTTTACACAAGGGGATAAGAAACAACAACAACACTGTCTATAAACAGCTGGAGGAACATGGACTCACGGAATTTGTGTAATCTTTACACAAGGGGATAAGAAACAACAACAACACTGTCTATAAACAGCTAGAGGAGCATGGACTCATGGAATTGGTGTAATCTTTACACAAGGGGATAAGAAACAACAACAACACTGTCTATAAACAG